TTAAATTCAAATCAGATATTTTCCGCCAAAAACGCCGAATCCGTATCGTCGGTTGCCTATCCCGATTGTGACGTAGCAGGTCATATCAACAAAGTATCTCGTGTTTATTTTGTTGTTTTCGCAGCTTTGTTTTATTATTTAAGTTATGTGTTATTATTGTGATTATCCCTATTTTATTGATTATCATTATCTTGCACAATGGAAAATAGTGACATGTATGTATCACAAAATAAGTGATGTTTTGTGCCGAGATGCAAGAATACCTCAATAAGTCCTCCAAACAAACTCTTTCTAACCGTTCCCCATGATTATGCACGTAAAGTTTTATGGTTCAAACCACAAAGCAACTAGACGTGATGTTCCTAAATCAAAATCAATGGTTGGCCAATGATGAGGCAGACAGAATATGTCTTCGATCGTACTTTGTGTTCTGGACACAAAGAACCCTCGCGTTTCAATTCCACATATCCGATATCACCATATTGTTCTCATGATGCCCAAAATACAAATTTAAGAGTTCAGTTTACTTTTAAAGCAGCTATGTGTATCGGTTAGGTTAAGTTGAATAAGTGAAATTCTATATAACATTTACCTAATTTAAACTAATACAGACGGATTAGTATATTAAGAAGAATAATTAATAATGCATTTATGATTTTTACTTACGCTGCTGCTTTGACACCCTTAAATTCGGCTGAAATAAAGCGTTCGTCGTTTTTTTTAAATTCGGTAACCATAAAAATATGTACACATGGTAAATTGTTTGTTGACGCTTTAAGGAATCCTTCTGGAGCCTTTTTTAGTTTAACACAAACTATAAATTATTTAAATCCACAGACTAACTAATGAAACACAACCACACAACTAAACACTATGCACAGAACGTAAACAATCCGCCATTTATATGACCAGAGACGTCACAACAGATAGGATTGCGTTTTAGAGATTCATGAATAATTTGAATTTTAGCTGAATTTGTTTGTTAAATATTTAACAAAATAGCAATAGATAGATAGTATAAACTTATTTGATCTTTCATATATATTTATATTACCATAGATTAATGTTCAGTTAGTAGGAATTTTTGATACAATGAAAAAACCTTATTGTGCGCCATGGAATTGGTTTTGGCATCGTTGGATAGAGAAGTGAAAGTGCGATTCAGTCATGAGAACATGAGTGAGGAGTTCGAGTTGTTTTGTCGAAATTTGAATATCACCCATTGAGTTGATGGCTTCCTTATACAGGGTGTCCCAACGGGATCGGCCGCGATCGATATCTGGCAAACTGTAAGTAGGAGAAATTTGAAAATTGCACAATGTGCCGAAGTCATTTGGGCAAAGCGATCTGAAATATTTTCAAGATGGCCATACTTCCGGCTATACCGGAAGTAGGTATCAACTTGCTTATTTTAATTGGAACACCCTATATATTATTGCATTGTTAAATTGTATGCCAAATTCTAAATATATCTCATGTATAYTATCCTATACYTAAGTCTAACCGTTTGTGATATATTTGGAATTTCATGTAAAAAATGACAGTTGCAGCGACTCGAATAATTAATAATTTTTTCTATAAGGRAATTTGTCATGCTTAATTTGAGTCGCATTTATGGTTGAAAAGGACTTACTTTAATGRACTTTCGAAAACATTTTGAAAACTGTTAATACAAAGTGTTAAAAACCGTGTTAAAAAAAGTTTYAAAATACAGTTGAGAAAAYCGCCCAAAATCATTTTTTTCAAATGAAACCCSCACTTTTGATAGTTCTGTCATATTCATTATTAAAAAAAGTGTACGTTTGTGTAACGATGTCTATTCCAAAAGTGTTTAGWTTTCAAAATATTGCCAATTTAATGTTTTCATATGGCTATTTTCCAGATACGTTTTTATTACATTTACTACATCTACAATTTACATTATTTGAATATTTGAATGCATAGATACAATGAGATAGACTGATTGCATGCGTTCAAATCACTCATAACTAACATAATCAGAAATTATATAGTCAACTTTATTCCGGAGGCGAAATTCGGCGTAGTTTTTCAACCAATCCCTCAACAAATTGCAGCTCTTCTTTGCTGTACGAAGGGTGGCATGACTGCATAGCTTCCAACAAGAGCTCGCCCCGTTTGACAGCCTCTGGGGGGCAAGCCTCTTCCATAGTCCTCAGGCTCTCTTCGAGAGAGAGATCCTTTAATTCTACACCCAGTTCATCCGCCATTGACTGCAGCGATCTTTTTCTGTTTCTGCTGGAAGTCGAGTATAGACTGTGCTACAAAGTGGAAGCATGCGATAAAGAATTTAAAATTGTTATTCGCGAGTTATTTGACGAATTTTTAAACCTTTTTATCGGACAACTACCAGGTTTGCGTGGTAAGTGACATGAATCACGGAAGCTAGCGACCTCCTAACAAAGCAACCATTCCCACTGATTAAGCAGCCTTTTTTAACCCTACAATAACCAACCTCCTTGTCGGGACCTCGCAAGCATATTATCTGGAGCTGCAAATGATCAAACAGCGAGGGAAACAACTCCTCAAAATTTCCGAAGATCTGGACCTCCAAATCCACGGAGGATTTTGATGCAATATGCATTTAGCATTAGCAGCTTTAGGCTCAATTTCAACTTTATCCCTCTATATGCAAAATATTTGCAAGCATTTGAACCATCAGTTGAGATTCAGGACAATCTTACGTTTTGGTCTGCAGACGTTTCCTCAAAAATTATTTTTTTCTCAAAGTGGTACCGCTAGAAATTTTATTTTAACACAGTTTAACAGACATAACTGGACTTTAGGTTCACGAAAAATGTCAACTTTATCCCTGAAAATGAAAAATATTGACCAGCAAAATATTGATTTGCAGACGTAKYCTCAAAAACTATTTTTGCCCAAAGTTGTACAGRTAGAAACTTGCTTTTCAGTCAGTTTAATAGGCAAAACTTGGATTTAGGCTTAGTAAAAATTTCAACCTTATCCCTCGATATGCCAAATATTTAGAAACATTTGAACCATCAGTTAAGATTGAGGACAATCTTACGGTTTGGTCTGCAGACGTTTCTTCAAAAATTATTTTTTCCCAAAGTTGTACCGCTAGAAATTTTATTTTAACACAGTTTAACAGACAAAACTAGGCTTTAGGTTTACGAAAAATGTCAACTTTATCCCTGAATATGCAAAATATTGACCAGTAAAATATTGATTTGCAGACGTAGCCTCAAAAACTATTTTTGCCCAAAGTTATACATATAGAAACTTGCTTTTCAGTCAGTTTAATAGGCAAAACTTGGATTTAGGATTAGTAAAAATTTCACCCTTATCCCTCGATATGCAAAATATTTACAAACATTTGAACCATCAGTTAAGATTGAGGACAATCTTACGGTTTGGTCTGCAGACGTTTCCTCAAAAAATTTTTTCCCCAAAGTTGTACCGCTAGAAATTTTATTTTAACACAGTTTAATAGATAAAGCTAGGCTTTAGGTTCACGCAAAATTTCAACTTTATCTTTGAATATGTAAAATATTGACCAGTAAAATATTGATTTGCAGACGTATACTCAAAAACGATTTTTGCCCAAAGTTGTACAGGTAGAAACTTGATTTTTAGTTAGTGTAATAGACAAAACTAGGCTTAGGCGCAGTARAAAWTTCAATSTTATCCCTCRATATGCAAAATATTTACAAACATTTSAACCATCAGTTAAGATTGAGGACAATCTTACGGTTTGGTTTGCAGACGTTTCTTCAAAAATTATCTTTTACCAAAGTTGTACYGATAGAAATTTGCWTTTAACCCAGTTTAATAGACCAATCTAGGCTTTAGGTTCAGTAAAACTTCCAACTTTATCCCTCTATATGCAAAATATTGACAAGCATTTGCACCATCAGTTTACATTACGGACAATATTATGTTTTGGTTCGCAGACGTTTCTTCAAAATCTCAAACGCCTGATAAATTCGACAATATTACATATAAACTTTAATAAAATTGGTTTCTCCTCGGTTTAAATGAAGTTTTGTCTGCATAATTTTAACACTTAATCTGATTTAGTTTCTGCCAAGATGGTCATTGAAGCATGATTTTTGCTGCTGTTCTGCGGGCCTTTCTCCAAGGGCCATTTTTCCAGAAACTAGATTAAGTGGAAACTTTTGTTCCTCTTTTTTAGATAAAATCAAACATCACTTCAAGCCAAATGTCCTGGAATTTTCGATCGATTTTCCCAATGTAACAAATACGGGCAATTTTTTGATGGCATAAAATCGATCTCAAGTATTTTACAGTAAAACGTTAGGAAAAACGCGCTTTTTCTGTTTAGAGACAGCGTTGTTTAGAAATATCCATCTAAAAGTGAAGAAACCCCAGTATCCAAGATTTTTCCCAATAAATCTTTGCAAAGCTGTTAAGGAGGCGAGTGTTCCAATAAAATTTACCTTATAATTTTTCAAGGAAAATACCTAAAGATTGTCAGTATTTTAAGTAAAACTAAAAAATATTCGAATTTTTGCGTAGAAAAAATTACGTAATGAAGACTAAAAACTGTTATGACGTGATAATGTTTAAAGTTTAAAAATATTCAAAGCGGTGAGCGATGGGCGGCGAATTTTCCAAATAAGTGTTTGTAAACTTTTGCTCTCTGGTCGTTTTTCAAGATAATCTTAATTACTTTCACCTTAACGGTTTTCGGAAAAAAACGGGAAGAATTTATTTTCGTTTTTTTTCGAATTTTTTGAAAAATTTCAAAAGTCGACGCTAAAAAAAGCTTTTGTGAACTTTTTACAAAGCAATAAATTGATCTTGTAATTTTTCGCGTAAAAGACTTCCAGATCGTCAGTATTTTTAAATGAAATTATACAAAATAAAGCGTCTTTGAGCAGATAGTAAAGCAAAAAAACTGTCAAAACTAAAAAAACTATTTTCTTTAACAAACTCTACAGGCTTCAGAGGTATATAGGGGTGATGAGATTTCCAAATAATCTGTTATAAACTTTCGTTTATTCTGAAAACTAATGGGTTTTTCGGGATTTTAGGCCGTCGTTGGGTAGAATTTCTTGTTGACGTTTCGCAAGCATAAGTGGCTTGCATCTTCAGAAGTTGTTTGCTTGAAGGCTTACACTGTTCTGATGGAAAAACCCATTAGTTTCAAGGAATGGCCTCGAAAGTCTATCTATTTCGTTTATTTTGTTTGCTTTTTGATAGAGAATTATTTGATTTTTGTTCCAAATTCGAAGCTGGAAAAGGATTTCAAAACTTTGTACAAAACGACGAAGAATTCGAGATTTGTTTCATAATTTTTCGTGGGAAATACCTTAAGATTGTCAGCATTTTTAAGTGAAACTTTAGAAAATTGAGCGTTTAGAGAAAAGAGTAACTTGGCTAAAACTAACATTAAAATATTATTTTGCGTAGCACTACGCCAACTCCTCAAAATGTACTGAGTTACCCAGGCCTACTATCAAAGTTTCATCTGGTTTGACAAGTTCTTCTTCAAGCACCCGTTTCATGAAAACTGGCTTAGGGAGATCGATAGATAGTAACTACACTAGATAAATAATATTTTCGTTGTACATCGGCTTATTCAAGAGGAATTTCCTCAAAAACTTGACCATATGGCCAGCTTCAAGTAGTTGCATTAATCAAAGAAAACTTCGCCTGAAGCACCGTAAAAGTTTCACTTTTGCAGCTGCTTGTTGCGCGTTTTCCAGTTCCAAAATCCAGTCGAGCAGCCGCTAGCATTATTTAAATGAATCAGACCAAATACGGCGATCCTGAAGTAATAGATTGCGTAAGCATGTGCCTGCTGTTAGATGGCTACATTTATACCTCAGCTTGCCCAACATGTGTTTGCTTAATTCCAAAGACAACTATCAGGCTGGGAGCCTTTAAAGGTCCTAGTCAGTACTAAGAAACGCAAACATTCGCATTAATTAATTAATATTGAAATTCAATCGTCGGTTTCTGGAACCCATCCGAAACTTTTAAATTGATTTTTTACGAGTGTCCTCAGTTTAACAGTCAACTATCCCAGCACATGTTTCCAATTAGTCTAAGTGAAATGTAAATCGACTGCGAACTTGCTTTTTTCTATCGAGAATTAACTATTTCAGTGCGATTTGCATTGGTTGAAGGTCTCGAATGACCCGTTTGAGATTCCAATCCAAGCAGTTCATACATTGACTGTCTGTGGGGTATAAATCTGGATAATGTGGGGGTTCGAATCCACATGTGGTTGGTTGTCTTTAAAGCCTAGAAAAGCAGTTTTCAAATAAAATCTTCATCCCACCTCTAGTTGGACGACTATCTCCATCTAGATAAGAGGAAACGGTGATGTTAAGAAAGGCCTTGATTTTGTAATGGGTTTAGGAAGCCACGCTAATCGCCAAAGGCTGGGATGGCGCCCATGTGGGTGTTTTTTCATTGGAAAATCCTCGACTAAACGAACATTCAAAGGAACACTCGGAATCGGGCTAGAAATTGAATGGAATGTGTAGAAGCGTGCACTTGCTGGTAGGATTCTTTTCTGCAGGCGGAAGGTTATTTGCACGAAAAACTCCGGATCGTTCACACGATCAATGATAACACATGTAAAACATGGTCAGCCAAATTCGAATGGCGTTATGTAAATTATTCAAGTCCAGACAAATCTGAATGATGTCCGTGGGAGTGTTGCGACAAACGAATTAGATTTAGCATCGTTTTTTGTCCAACACAACATGTCTTGAGAGCAGATGTCGTCAGGTCTTTATCTGGAGTAATCGGCCTGAACACGCCTAGTTTAAATGTCCGGAACGGTGGCAAATTGAAGGAGGAATCGCTATTGGTAATTGACCGAAAGCAAGCCAACGATCAACGGTTGCTAATTTGATTAGAGTGCATTTGATTGAGCGTGGAAATTGGCTCTTTAGTTCCACTGCGTCAAATGAAATTAGTTAAAGAGCACGAAAGCTCGTCTATTGAGCAATTGTTCACTGGAAAATCTATCGGCGATTTGCTCGGTTTTCTTAAGGAAGGAAGGGATTTTTCAGTAACTAAGGCTGTTGGAACAGCAAGTAAAAAATTCTAACTAAATTTTCCAAACATTTACAAGTCCTGTGACATTTGCGGTTCTCCTGGACGACTTCAGTTGAAAATGAAGACGATGCCAATGAGTGAAGAACGCTTTTTGTAAGAGTTTTTTGGCCGTTCGTTTTACCTTAAATTTTCTGCTTAATTATTTCTCTTTTGGAAATGGTTTCATTTTATCGCAATAAAAGTGTGGGTTGTGGGTTTTCTGTTGCGAATTTACCTGAAAATTAGTTGATGGTTTGAAGGATTTTTTTCGGAAAACCCAGTTTCCAGATGAATAAGATGGAATTTATCCCGAAAAACTGGAAATATTTTACGGTAATCGAAATGGATTGATTTCTGATGATGTAATCAATTATTTTCTCTTTTAAATACGGTTTATTTTATGGCATATTTAAGAGGCTGCTTCGGTTTGCTGAAAGGATTTGAGCTGAACATGAATGCGAAGTCAATGGAATAAAATAAAATTTAAATTGACCATTTCATGTTAAATTTGGTAAATAATAATAAATAAAAATGCGCTGCTTTATGTGTGGAAAAATGAACTTTAATGAGAAATTTCTGGGAGTTTAGATGATTTTTCAGTTATTAAGGCGGGGCAATTCGGCGTTGTGAAACACGAATTTTTCAAAGATTTCACAAGAAAAGGCCAAAAATCCCACAATCCGGCTCATAATATTACTCGAAAGAGAAAATGCACTGTATTTTTTCATTTTCTAATCCGAGGCGATTGGCTGTTGGAAAAGCCGAACTTTTCAAAAATTTGACAGAGAAAAGCCAAAAATCCCACAATCCGCCGCATAATGTCACTTGAAAGAGAAAATGCCCCGCTTTAAGTGTGGACAAGCACTTTAATAGAATTTTTCTGGGAGTTTCTCCAGGATTTTTTGAGTTACGAAGGTGAGGCGATTGCCTGTTGGTAAATGCAGATTTTTCAAAAATTTGTTTAAGAAAAACGAAAAAGCCCACAATCCGGTTTTTAATATCACTCGAAAGAGAAAATGCATTGCTTGAAGTGTTGAAAAACGCACTTTATTAGGAAATTTCTGGAAGGTGAGGCGATTGGCCGTTGAAAAATACTAAATTAAAAAAAAATTCACAGTAAAATCCAAAAATCCTAGAATTCGGCTGATAATATCACACGAAAGAGAAAGTGCGTTGCTTTACATGCGAAAAAACGCACTTTAATAGGAAATTTCTGAGAGTTTTCAAAATTTTCTCAGTAGCCGATGCGATTGGCTGTTGGAAAAGACGAATTTTTCAAAAATTTGACAGGAAAAGCCAAAAATCCCACAGTCCGACGCATAATGTCACTTGAAAGAGAAAATGCACCGCTTTTAGTGTGGAAACGCACTTTAACAAGACCTTTCTGGCAGTTTCTTCAGAATTTTTTGAGTTACAAAGGTGAGGCGATTGGTCGTTGAAAAACACGAATTTTGCAAAAATTTGTTAAGGAAAAACGAAAAAGCCCACAATCCGGCTTTTGATATCACTCGAAAAAGAAAATGCGCTGCTTTAAGTGTAGAAAAACGCACTTTAATAGGAAATTTCTGAGAGTTTCCATTATTTTTTCATTTACTAATCCGAGGCGATTGGCCGTTAGAAATTACGAATTTTGCAAAAATTTTAGAAAAAAAAGCCAAAAATCCGACAATGCGACTCATAATATCACTCAAAGGAGAAGATGTGTTTATTGAAGTGTGGAAAAACGAACTTTAATAGGAAATTTTTGAGAGCTTTCAGGATTTTTTCAGTTACTAAAGCGAGGCGATTGGCCGTTGGAAAACACGAATTTTTCAACGATTTGACAAGAAAAGGGCAAAAATCCCACAATGCGACTCATAATATAACTCGAAAGACAAAATGTACCGCTTTTAGTGTGGAAACGCACTTTAATAGAAAATTTCTGAGAGCTTCCAGGATTTTTTCAGTTTGCGAGGCGATTGGCCGTTGGAAAAGACGAATTTTTCAAAACTTTGATAAGAAAAAACAAAAAATTCCACAATCCGGCGCATAATGTCACTAGAAAGAGAAAATGCACTGCTTTTAGTGTGGACACGCACTTTAATAGAATCTTTCTGGGAGTTCTTCCAGGATTTTTTGAGTCACGAAGGTGGGGCGATTGGTTGTTGGTAAATGTTTCAAAAAGTTGTTAAGGAAAAACGAAAAAGCCCACAATCCGGCGTTTAATATCACTCGTAAGAGAAAATGTGTTGTTTTAAGTGTAGAAAAACGCAGTTTAATAGGAAATTTCTGGAAGTTTAGAGATTTTTTTGAGTTCCGAAGGTGAGGCGATTGGCCGTTGGAAAATACGAAATTTAAAAAAATTTGACAATAAAATCCAAAAATCCTAGAATTCGGCTGATAATATCACTCGAAAGAGAAAGTGCGTTGCTTTAAGTGTGGAAAAACGCACTTTAATAGGAAATTTCTGAGAGTTTTCAAAATTTTCTCAGTTACTAAGCCGATGCGATTGCTGTTGGAAAAGACGAATTTTTCAAAAATTTGACAGAGAAAAGCCAAAAATCCCACAATCCGACGCATAATGTCCCTTGAAAGAGAAAATGCACCGCTTTTAGTGTGGAAACGCACTTTAACAGGATCTTTCTGGGAGTTCCGTCAGGATTTTTTAAGTTACGAGGGCGAGGCGATTGTTGGAAAACACGAATTTTTCAAAAATTTTAAATACGAAAAAGCCCACAATCCGGTTTTTAATATCACTCGAAAGAGAAAATGCGCTGCATGGGTAATAGTGGCAAATTCCGTTCTTCTCGGCGGTTAAGGCGGAAAATTAGTACCAAGTCGACAGCTTGATAGTTTTTTAGAAGAAAACTGAGCATTCAAAAAGAAGCTGAGATTCTAAAAATTGACTCAAGCAATGAATGAAATGAATTGCCATTCAAGCTCAATGAATAAGCTATTGAAAAATTGTTAAATTAGTGCATTGTTGCCTATATTCTCCAAACAAATCCAGTAGATTAATGGGACTTTTGGCTTTATTCCCGGTATGAGGCAAGTCAAAACTCATCTGCCGTTTAGTCGATTAAAAATAGAGCCAGTTTCGTGAATTAAAAATAAAAACAGGTAAATAAACAGGAAACACATTCAGCTAATTTATTAGCACGAAACTCGGAACCAAGTGGGCTAGAAAATAGTCATTGGACTTTTGCCAAGAAGCGTTTGATTCACTCGTCGCAGTGTCACACTTGAGTCTAAACCAATCGAGCAGAAAAAAAATTAAAATCACACTCATTGGATGGTTTTAAATGAGTTCGATTAAACGCTCAGACGGTTCTGTGCCACAAGAATCAGGCGCCGTGTTTTATGCCAGTGTAATCTGGGGATAAATCATGCTTAAATGGAAACTGGCCAAATATAGGAAAACGACTCATGTGTTATTGTTTCACTAACCTACATTTTAAGCGATTTATTCCGTACAAGCAGAGATTTCTCAGACAGATTTCTCGACGCTAATGGTGCAGCCATTACGAATATCAAGTCTACTCCTCACTTTCCCAAAGGAAATTTCAGTTTTAAGTTGAGGAAAATCGGGGATTTCCGATTGCAGTCGCAAATTCTTCAATAATTTCATCTCCCAAAGGTCCTCCCTTGGCCGAAGTGAAGACTGCTTATAATTTATCGGAGGAAAAACACATCTTCCAATGACGATCAAGTCTTGAACTTGTGGTCATTTGAAGAAAGCTGAAGAAATTGAAATTTTTGCAAGAACCGCGAACTCTCTTCTCCCATCAATCAATCGGGTTTCGTCAATCGAACTTAACTAGCAAAACTCAACCCTGCTTTCTTCTAGTCTCAGGTTCAGATAGAGATGCAGCTTTATTTTTCTTTAAGCTTTTGAGGAGCAAACATTCATTTCTTTGCGTTTCGTTGAATAAAAGCACGGAATTTTACAAAATCTTAACAGGCCTTTGTGCAACATGTTTTCCACAAACCGCAGGACTTAAAAAATCTTGAGAGTCAAAAAACGGTTAAGCATTATCTTCAATCCTTGAAAAAATTATCCAAACTAATTCCAGATAATCCGTAAACTCGACACAAGTGGTCGATTCAAATGATGGAATATTCCTAGTCAGATCACGTATATTTTCAAAATTCAAGGCCAATTTCCATCTGGATGTTTCCATTCCATAACAGTTTTCTGACAACGAAACGAGCAGTTTTGTCCAACTTACCTAAATCCAGAGAAACGGCATCGGTAAGCAAGACGGAAGCCAGCAGAAGCAAGAGAGCGATGCTGAAGATGCGGCCAGCCATCTTCAGTCACGAGTGGGCCGAAACGGTGTAACTTGTGGTCGGTTTATGATGCTGCCAAGCGGCTTCACGACTGGACACTAACGGCAGGTCTATCGCGTACTTTACTGGGGACGACGGTGTATTAATATGTGGGCTTCGTCGGAATCCGATCTGCTCCTTATTTGTCACACAATCGCCTTTTTTCCTCTCAGATGTTCAAGAATAAAAATGCAGGATAATTACTTCCTATCGGTGGCAAAAAAGCGCATTTGGCCAACTGTGGCAGCGACCAATCGAATATCACGCCTTCCAGCCAATCATGGATCGGGAGTTTGTATTTAACTCAGCTTCAACCAGTCGCGAAACTTTCCACTCATTTGGAGAATCTTCATCAAGCAAAGTTGTCTCAGATACCAAAAATCTTTGATCCTTCGCCTTCGCAAGTAGGAATTTGGTCGGAAACTTCGAGATTTGTGTTGAAGAAACTGTAATGGCGCAGTGCTACGCTAATGTGTTGGTGCGCCAACCCAACGCACCGACGCAGTAACTCACTTCTGCGGCTGGGAAAATGTTGATGACTTTTTACTTGATTTTAGACTTATTTTAAGGGCCATTTATTAATAATATTTTCAAAATTTCCTCAAAATTTCAGAATTTTCCAGTTTTAGCCAAGTTACCCTTTCTCCTAAATGCTCAATTTTCTAAAGTTTCACTTAAAAATGCTGACCGAGACTGACTTGAGTATTTTCCGCGAAAAATTATGAAATTAATTTCTAATCCTTCGTCGCTTTGTAAAAAGTTTTGAAATCCTTTTCCAGCTTCGGGTTTGGAACAAAAATCAAATAATTTTCCATAAAATAAATTATTAGAACAGAATTAGCGGAAGTTTATAATCATTTATCTGGAAAACTATTGGAAACTGGGGTTTCTTCACTTTCAGGTCAATATTTCTAAACAACACACGTTTTCCCTAACGTTTTACTGTAAAATACTGGCAAATTGGATCTTTTATGCGAACGAATTAAGAGATCGATTTTACAAGAAAACTCGTCGACTTTCTTTGGCCTCAGTCGGTTGCTGGAAAAATCTAGATGACTTTTTCCAAGTAGTAAAATCAAAAGAGAGAGACTTTCGAGGCCATTCCTTGAAACTAATGGGTTTTTCGGGTTTTTAGGCCGTCGTTCAGTAGAATTTCTTCTTGACGTTTCGCAAGCATAAGTAGCTTGCATCTTCAGAAGTGCTTTGCTTGGACGCTTACACTGTTCTCATCAAAACGCGTTCAGTTCTGCGGAAGAACTTGATTGATGAATAATGACCTTTTTTAGATGAGAAAATTCCAGCCTCGGGTCTCGTAAAGCTTTACTAAATCACTTATGAACCGATGAGTAATAACTCGTTAACGCAGACACCAGCAGCAACTCAACAGCGCAACTCAGGCCTACGAGGTAGCATAGAAAGGGCAGAAACTCAAAAAAAGTTGTCACTGATCACTTTTTTGCTCAAAGAAGAGTCAACACTGTGTCGAGTTGCGCTTTTGAGTAATTGCCTCTGAGTTGAAATTATAACTCGTTAACCTATGGGGTCCTAGGTGCAAATAAAAAATCCACTTTCTTCAGAAATACATATAGTTCAATACTATTCACTTAATCATCAGAAGACGCATCAGCACTGGCAAGCTCACAGTAAGAATCCTCAGGTAAAAAGTCCGAAACGATGCCTTTGAAAGTTTCCACTGGACAGAAGTCTGCGCACCCTGGAATGGTCAGCAAAACTGGCTCCGCCTCCTTGTAGTTTTGATAGAAGAACTGAAAAGAGAAAATGCTTCAGTTCCACTCCGGCTTTTAATGCCACTTACCTTGAACCCGTAAACTCCATCAATCAAGTGCACCTCAATAATGATGTAGCTACCAAAAGCCGGAAGTGCGTCATCGAAAAGATCCAGAGTGACCAATAGGTTGGCGATGTTCTTCTCATGCGCTGAGTACAGGTAGAGCTTGGTGGGGGAATGTGGGTTAACAATCCGAATTTCGGTGTCTTCAATGACCTTCCTCAGGAAATATCCTGGAAGATTGCCTGGATTAGCAGTGCCATTTTCTCCTCTGGTTCCCTACCTGTAGACAATCGCTTCAGCTTGGTGGTTCCAGCCATCAACCGATAGCTAAGCATGGTAATACGCAGCATCTCCTTTTCGTAGGTGTAGAACCAGTCCTCTAGAGGATAACCATAAGCTGCCTGAATTTTCAAAAAATTAATACAGTTTGCTACAGCTTGGCGAGCTGATGCTCACTTGAGTCAGAAGCTCCACATACAGATCAGAGGCCTTCTTGGCCTTCTGGATCTCCAAGCCTGAGTGCTCAGAAACGTAGTCAAACATCTCCTGATACGGTTCCAGCTGTTCCAAGACCGCATCGGTTTTGATCAGCTTTTTGTAGGCTTTCTTGTAGTTGGAGCAAACTTTCCGGCCATACAACTCCTAAAACACTCCGATGGGAATTGCAATGGTAAAAGGAGTTATTGGAGGTTTTTCTGCCCACACCTTGTCGTTGTCGAAAGTATTATACGGGATGGGCTGCCAGAGCAGATCCTCATTCCAAACCAGCTCCCCAGTGGGAGGAAATAGGCTGGCCAAGACCAAGAGCATGCTCATTTTCGTTCTATTGGCTACAGTGCTCCTGGCATCGATCAAGTTGATGTTATACTCACTTCCCAAGAAGGAGCCATAACGTTCTCTTAAGGCTGCTCCTATTTTGAACTCTGTCTTGCGACCTTCCTAAAAACCCGCGTTAACTCACAGAGCCCACAACCATTCAGGTATTTCTACCTTGGTGAGCTGGTAATACCCATATGGGGCGTAGAAGCTTTCATTCCCATAGGGATTGGTAGGGTAGATGTTGTCCTCAATCGTCCGGTTCCCATGCCGGAATAACTGCAAGTAGAAGAATAAGGGTCGACGTCATTTTATGCCCTGGGGTTTCCTCACCGTGTGAACCAAAACTAGGGTGTTTTCCGTTCGAGGTGGCAACGAGAGGCATGAAGCTGAAGCTGAGGCGAGAAACGCCACGAAAATGGACAGCAAATGGATTGGTGCCATTGTGGATCGTTGTGATGTGCTGGATACTGGAATGAACTTGTGGCGGGTTTATTGCCTATATAAAGCTTGGGCAATATATAAAAATCTGTTTTCTCGATTATTTCGGCTTTACTCAAGGTTTAAATGGGATTATTAATCAAGCGCTTAAGTTTTTATTAATTATATGTGGTGATAACATTCAACATGAGATCCTATTATTTTTCTTGCGGAATTATTCCATCCACAGAGATTGAAAGGAAACATTTCCTTCAAAGAATCTACTGAGCTGAATCGTTGGATTCACCAAAACTAAGCGATTTCATGCGCTTTGCATAAAATTCTTCGATCTGTAAACTTTGTAACAATTTTTTGTAACAATTATTGGCTGTTGACTATGAGGGATTAGAATAACTATCTCAAGATACCTCGCTTCTACTATGTGACTTAAACGAATTAATTCAATGGATTTGCGGGATTTAAATTTCCAGTCGATTAATGTCTCAAGGATAAAAATGACGCTACGCTTATTAAGCCTTAATTATATTTTTCGCTGAAAATCAACTAGAAACTTACATTAAGAGTAGAGAGGTCAGAGTCTGCTAGCTGAATATTAAGTTAAATTTGCCATTTTTCTTTTTAGAATATAGACTAAAATGGAACCATCAAAGTGTATTTTATGCGTCCTCAAATTACAGAAATTTAAAAACAACTTTATTATTAATTTTGCAAAAAACTAAATCACTACTTTTAAAATTATCACTTAAACTAATGGAGAAATTGGCTTTGAACCTGGAGTTTTAATTTCACCTAAAAAATCAGAAATTTTAAATAAAAATTATTCGCTGGAGTTATACAAAAAGAAAAATAAAATACAAATTCTTTATGTATCGAAGAGAGAAGGCTGACCCTTATTGTTTTGTCTCTTTTTAACACACCATTTTGGGGATTTCCACGCACTAACGTACACGCATTAACTTCCACAGATCACAGAAGCTGTGAACCTCTGTGATCTGTGATTAAATTGACAGTTTGACATCACTGTCCACTGTCAAACTCTCAATGGTTTCTTCTCAGACCGTCTGTTGTTGACGTCTGGTTCTTGGATTGGTAATCCAAAATCATCGTAATTATTTGCGATCTTAATACAGAAAATTGAAACGAAACTAGAACAAAATGCCCCCAAAGTTCGACCCCACTGAAGTTAAACTTGGTATGTGTGGAATTTTCGTGAAAAAATTCGCATTTAATGTGCAAACTGTTCGAATTTTAAAACTACGTTTTCCTTGCAGTTTATTTGAGATGTGTTGGAGGTGAAGTGGGAGCTACTTCATCGCTGGCCCCCAAAATCGGTCCCTTAGGTTTGGTGAGTGTCCTAAAAGCGTAGCTCCATAAGTCTGAATCTTGAGTTTTCTAACCTAAATTTGATGATTGTTGCGGCATATGAGCGTGTTTTTTGATTCGACTGTTCCTTTCAGTCCCCAAAGAAAGTTGGAGATGACATTGCTAAGGGAACCGCTGATTGGAAGGGTCTGAAAATCACCGTACAACTGAAAATCCAAAATCGTCAAGCGACTATTTCAGTTGTGCCTTCTGCGGCGTCTATGATTATTAAGGCCCTCAAAGAACCCCCAAGAGACAGAAAGAAGCAGAAAAATAGTAAGCTTGAAAATGGGCTTTCATGTGGAGGTATTTCAACAAAGGTGTCTAATTCCAGTTAAGCACAGTGGGAACATTTCCTTCGACGACGTTGTGGACATTGCCAGACAAATGAGGCCTCGATCAATGGCCAAGAACCTATCCGGAACCGTGAGGGAAATTCTGGGTAAGTTCCGTATAAACATCTTGAAGCTCTGCACTAAACAATCAAGACAAAAATGATCTTCCAATTCTTGTCAGACTTGTTGGGTGCTAAAGCAATTATTCCTTATTTGCAACTCATCCTTACGAACTACTAAGGGTGTTACTACTGGGAAGAGACAAGCCTTGATCGAACTCAATTTGCTGGATTCTGATTTGAAATGCTTAAATTCAGGTACTGCCCAATCAGTTGGTTGCACGATAGACGGAAAGGCGCCCCACGATGTCATTGACGAAGTCAATGACGGGAGCATCGAGGTCCCCGAAGAATAAACTTTGGGACATTAAACAATTAAGTTAATTGAATTGTTTTATTTTTTATTTCTACCCTTTCAATCAATGTTTTCCTTTGTTGCTTAGTGATTTCGTGAAGTGAGTGCTTTAACGCTGAATTTTAATTAATTTCATGGGCTTTCACATCTAAACTAGAGCAAGTAAGTTTATACTGTGGTCATTTATAGAACACGCTTGCCTGCTAAAATTCGCCCGCACCAGGAATTGACAAACATTTTATTTATGCCCACTTACGTAAAAGCACTTTTGAAGCAAAAGTTTTCGTCGTTTTAACTTTAGCACGTAAGAACTTTCCTTTTAGGTCATTTAATAAAGAAACTACTGACAAAAGGTGGCAATTTTCGAACCAATTCAGTCAACCGGGAGGTTTTTCAGAGATCCACAAACTTTAACTTAAATGTCACTAAAGCGCTTAAGCAGACCGGCTTTGAACAATTCTTGTAGACAAAACTAGATTATGCATGGACAAAAATGTGGAAGTTCAAGCAAATTAATCCAGAGGAAGATTTTTCAGGGAATAGCTAACTCTTTGTAGCAAACTGGGTCAAATTCCTCACCTTTAAGCTAGAGCACGTACACTTGCGTTTGGGGTCATTTATAGAAAACACTTCTGTTCAAATGTAGAAAATTGTATGCAAATCAGTGCACAGGAAAATKTTTGCAATTCATAACTTCGTTTGATCCTMAACTTTCAAAAGTTCGTCAAGATGAAGAGAATTTCAAGTAAATGAGTCAACTGGAAGGTTTTTAAGGAGTTAGCAAACTTTCKCTTTGSAAATGAAGATGAAACTCCCTGATGGAAAATGATATGGAGCCTTACATTTCAAATCATCATCAAATAAGTTACTGAGGAGCTGCAAAAGTGACTACCAAGGTTACAGTTGGATTAGGTCAGGAGAATTAATACATAAAATTATGTAAAACGTTGTAAATCTAATAGGCCAAATTAGGTGCACGCAACTTACGAACCCAAACCACAATGTAGATAAGTTATTATTATACTATAACTGATTATTCATTCTGCTGTTTTACGAGTAAAATGGTATCAACAATTAAACACATTCAGTTGAAAACGCTTTATTTTTTAGCTGCTGACCACTAACTTCCAGAGGCTCTAAAACATGCTACGTTTCCTTAAAGAACTACGCGCAATCCTACAATAGAGACGCAAAGTGTTTGAAAACGGCCTTCACTCGTTCCTCAAACTCCGCTCTATTCTTAATCTTCGCCCCACTGAAAGCATCTGCAATATTGCCACTTTCGGCCCGTTCAGCCAGATCGACAACTTCTTCAGTTTCCGAAAGCTCAATCCTGATAATAGTGGGTGCCAGCAACAGCCCAAACTTCCCAAACTCCTTCCAATGCCTCCTGATGTCCTCCAAGGCAATATTATAGGAGGTTTCATGAAATTTCTCCAGGAAACTGGTCAAGCTGTGATGGTAAGCTTGCAGAAGAAGATCATGGTACTTGAGCAGTTTCTCATCTGCTACTGCGTAAAGGTAGTAAGAGAGATCGTAAATGGGAGAACCTACAGAGGAGAGTTGGAAGTCCAGGAATTTCACATCAGTGGGCTTGGATTTGGAGGCGTTCTGGAAAAAATGAAAACATTTCGGCATAGTTTAAAAAATCAGAATTACGTACTGCACTATTGCCATAGGTGAACATCATGTTATTGTTCCAACAGTCCCCATGCAGAATCACCGATAGTCCATCATCAGGTTTTTCGATTTTATAGATATATTTTTCGACTGCATCCAGCTGGAGAAGTTCAAGCTTCCTGTAGCTCTTTTCATCATCCTTCCTGACCATATCCAGAGCTTCCAGCATGTCCTGGCTGAATCCAGCCTCCATGTGGGCCTGGACTAGAAACTGAGCCATCAAGTCGCTCATTCCTCTGGTTAAATCTTCATACAGCGCCGGCTTCTGTTTCTTCAGCGCTAAGGAAAGCGCATGGAATTTTCCGTAGCCTTTGAACACTACCAAGGCGTGGTCTAGATTTTGCGGCTTCTTCCTATCGTACACTTCATAGTTTAGCGGTTTGAGATTTTGGAGTATGAGAGCCTCGCGTTCTATTTCCCTGCAAACTGTGTAGCATTTTGCAAAGTTCTCAAACGGAGTGTTCACAGCGTGTTCAAGCTGGAAATCCTGGAAAGTCGGCAACACTTTGCTGTAGATGAACATCTCGCGCAGGAAAACTTCCTGGATGGGAGTTTGCTTGCGCAGTTCTTTGCCCTTTTTCGCCGACTTGATGACCAAGTTGTACAACTCGCCATTCTCTGCTAGAACATTGACGAAAGTCACCACTCCCAGATATCCATCGCCTTTGGATGCATTTCCAGTATGCACCAGTTGGTACTTGGAAATTTTGCGCTTCTTCGCAAAGTCTGCCACCCAAAGGTCCAAATCGCTCTGCTTTTTGTCGCACATTTTTTTCGTATCAACTAGGAATTAATGTTAGCGAACTGATCGATCGCTTTTATATGTTCAGGGCATCATTATCGATAACGCATTTTCCCAGCAAGGCAAATTTTGAATTCATGTAATTAACCATGCAGTTGGTAATGAAAACATTCCGCTCATGAACTATGATTGGAGCAATTTAGATAATGCATCAGTTCACCTTCGAGGGCAAATCGCTTAATCTCCAAGATGCTGGACTAGAAAAGGCTGTTTATTAATTGTAAATTGGCAATAAAAACATAAATCTAAGTCCCTCAGCTTTGGGTTTATCTCAGCTGGGAAATTGAGGGTCTGGGAAACAGTGCCAGAATGTCGACCAATGTGTTAACACCCGAGCAAACTGCGCTGGTTCATCAAGCCGCAAGCGTTCAAGGCTTAAAAGAGTACAAAATCAATATAAATCCTGGATCTTCCAAAGGCGACAACTACTTGGGAATTATCCACTCCCTAGCCGTGGAAGGGAACGAAGCCAGCTTGTTCCTCATACTCAAAACTGCACATACAAGCGAAGAGGTGCGCAAAGCCAACCCCATTCCTCAAGCCTTCCAGCGGGAAGCCTTCATCTACAGCATCGTTATCCCAAGACTGCAGCAGATCCAAGAGCAATATGCCATCTCAAGCCCTTTCACTGGAGTTGCCCAGTATTACGGTTCCTGCCTGGATCTTCACAAGGAGTCCATCTTGCTGCAAAATCTCAAAGAGTGCGGCTACAGGCTGTGGGACCGCAAGAAGCCCATGGATGACGCCCATATTGGGTTGGTTTTTTCGGAATATGCGCGCTTCCATGCAGCCTCCTTAGCCTGGAGGTTTCACTATCCAGAAGAGTTCAGCTCGCTCACCAAAAATATGCATCAGAATGTCGTTGAGGCGAATAACCCGGGCTCCAGAGAACGGAAGAAGGAGAAATTGAATGGGTACTTCCAGGTGGGGAGAGCGGCCACACAAGGAAACGCGAAAGCTTCAGCAGGAATTGAGAAGTTGAGGTCGGAAATCGCGCAGTTGATCGAACGCAGTCATTTCCTGGGGAGGGACCGATTTGTGGTGCTCCATGGGGACTGCTGGTGCAACAACATGCTCTTCAAATATCACGTAAGTGAGAAAATCTGGATGGAAAAACACGTATGGAGCAACAAGAATTTTTCCAGGATAACCAACCCAACTCCCCATCCCAAGTGTGCTTCATCGACTGGCAAATTTCCAAGCTTGGCTCTCCCATTTTGGATCTGGCGTACTTTTTCAGCGTCTGTGCCCCCAAGGAGCTTTTCGCCAACTTGCACAAATATCTTGCAGCTTACCATCAGACGATGGCGAAGAATCTGCGAGAGTTCGGCTGTAGGCCCGATGAAATCTTCAGTTGGACGCAACTGTTGGAGGACTGGAACAGGAACGCTTGGTATGGCGTGTTTCTGGCGATGATGATCATCAAGCTGATGCTGTCCGATGCAGAGGAGGCGCCAGCAATGAACGCCGATGCGGACATAATTAGCTCTTTGACGAATTTCAGCAGCAGAAAGGAAGCGGAATTTGAGAAGAGGTTGTGCGACTTGGTGGAGTTCATGGTTGATCATAATTATATTTAGTGGGTTGATGAGTTTCTGAAGGTTTTCTTGTACCTGGTATTCAATTGATTAATAAACAAGTACATATGGTATACTTCCTAACGTTCTTCAGGGTCAGGCTGAACCTCCTCCTCTAGTTAGTCGTTTTCGTGGTAGTTTTGCAGACCGGAATTTAACATTAATTTTCTCTGTAACTTGCGAAATGAGAAAGTTCGTTTTAGGTGCGTTTTGTAGTGTGAAGTCTCTTCTATGGGTGGCCAACGCTTCGATTTCCAGCCATCAGACCAAAATTTTGCAACATTGTGTGGTTTTCGTGAAAGTTCTTGCAGACCGGAGTTTACGTTTAATTTCCTCGGGAACTTGCACAGTGAGAAAGTTGATTATGGATGAATTTTGTAGGCCCGAATCCCTTATGCAAGTGAAGGAATTTTCGCTTTTCCGTTATGTAATATAAGCAGGATATACAGGATGTATGTGATAAATACTGCTAGTGACATCCATTTACTGCTTTTTGGATTGCAATTGAATTCTCGTTCTAATTTTATGTTATCTTACTGATAAATATAGAAAATAAAATAAAAGCCTTACGAGATAAGATGTGTGATATTTTGTTCTCATATATGGGAGAAAAACAGTTCATTCTGTTGGTCATAAGCTGATTAAATAATTAATAAAAGACTGCAGTGATAAGTGAAAATTTGCAAACTTTCCCGATCGATGATGCCGCTATTGTGTGATCTCTGACAAAAAATTATATATCATTCAGTGTAATGGTAAGTTTAAAGACCCTGACCTTTATAAATATAGAAAGATCTGAAGTCGTTCAAATCGCACAAAAGTGCAGATTTCAATCTCAGCAGGATGGACTCCGAATAGTTTCGAATTACCAACTTTTCTGAGTCCGTAACCAGCAGTTCTAAAGAACGTATATTCATCTGAACTGCCGGTTAAGGGCTGAGAAGACTTGTCTTATAATAAAATTGCAGAGGAATGTTGGTTTTTTATAAAGAATAATTGTTCCCTTACAATACCTTAATCCATTGCACTGAATAGGAATAGTGCGAGTAACGTGCTTTCAACTTAATCAAAATATGTGCAAATTTTTATGTCTCCTTGATATTATTGATATGCTCGAAACTCAGATATTTTAAGCGGTGAGAGTAACAACTTTGAACGTGGTAACGCACAGCCATGGTGCCTCGCTTATAGACTCCCATGGGTGCGAGTGAGACAACCGTGGCCAGCTGCGTTCTAAAATGAGAATTATTTCCAGTTAAGGACTTAAAATTAAATTATTAAATTAGTTCTTTTGAACTGAATTTTCCAAAAACGTTTTTAAGCGTCGAATGCGGGACGAAAATGRAAATTAATTTCTCCCGTTTTTTCCGAAAATCGTTAAGATGCACAAAACTAAAAGTTTTTAATTAAAAACGCAAAAAAATATCATTCTTTTCTGAAACATTTGAGACAAAAATCAAATAAWTTTCTATCAAAAAACGAACTGAATGAACAAAAGTTTATAATAATTTATTTGGAAAACTCATCGTCTCCATTCCTCTGAAGACTGTAGAGCTTGTTWAAAAAATGTTCGGTTTTTTAGTTTTGACTGACATTTTTGCTTTACTTTCCACTCAAAAACGCTCTATTTTGTAGAGTTTTACTTAAAAATTCTGACACTCTGGATGTAATTTACGCGAAAAATTACAAGATATATTTATAGCTTTGTAGGCATTTTACAAAAACTTTTTCGGAGTCGAATTCGGGGCAAAAACGAAAATAAATTTATCCCGTTTTTCCCCAGCATCATCAAGATTTTCTCAAAAACCTATCACAAAACTAAACATTTTTAATAAAAAACGCAAAAAAACATTATTTTCTCATGATGATATTGAAGTAATTAAGATTATCTTGAAAAAACAGCCAGAGAGCCCAAAAAATAATTTGGAAAATTTGCCACCCTCATAGCACTGAAGATTTTTTAAATTTCTATAAAATTTCAGATCATTCTAGTTTTAACAAAGTTTCTATTACGCTCTTTTTTTCTTATTATTCTCTACGCAAAAACGTATTATTTTCAGTTTTACTTAAAATACTGACAATTTTGCAATTTTGAGAATTTGACGAACCTTTTACAGCTTCGAATTTTGGACAAAACTCTGATATTTTTTTCTAGATTTGTTTCCAAAAATATTTCCCCCAACAGAACAAGCGAAAGTTTATAATCAATTATTTCGAAAACTCGTCACCTTCGTCGCTATCAATAATTTGATTTTTTTAAATTCCGGTTTCTTCGCTTTTAAGTCAATACTTCTAAACAAAACTCTCTCGAAACAGGTTTTTGCTGCAGAATTCTGACAAACTGAGAATCTTCCATGCGAAAAAATTAAGAGATTGATTTTACAAGAAAACTCTTTACAGTTTAGTTAAGTTTTTTTTTCAAATACCAAGTTTACCTTTGAAGTTGGCACAAAACGTAACAAAATGTTCTTGTTTTTTTTTCGAAAAAATTTAAGTTTTCTCAAAAAGGATCAGAGAAAGTAAAATCATATAATCAACAATTTGGAAAACTCGTCACCCTCATCTTCTTCTCCTCAAGTTCCGGTTTTTCCCGTTTTAGGCCAAATATTTTCAAGCAATCGCTTCGCCCGAAAAGGTATTTCAGTAAATTTTTAGGAGTTAGCGCAGTACTGCGCACATGGTGTGCCAACCCAACGCACCGGAGCTCCGTTCCGTTGCTGGTAAACTGTAACTCATAAAAAATGTTGATTACTTTTTTAGACGTTAAAATTCCAGTCTCGGTCATCGGTAAACGTATTATAACTCATTAAACCATGATTTGAAACTCATTAACTCAAAGAGCGACAACAACTCAAAGGCGAAACTCAACACAGTGCTACCCAGGCCTACTTCTGGTTAAAGACTTCGGAAACTGTTTTGTATTAAAACTACTATTCAGAGTCCAACTTTTTTATAGCTTTTTTCACTGACAATGAGCTATTTTAAAAATAAAAAACAGCATATCGATTTAATTCTAGGCCAGTACATCCAATGAGGACAGTGATTTTCATTCGGACCCTGAACTATCGTTTAAGCGCCAGCTGATAGACGCTGTCTTAAGCAATGACCCCGATCAACTCATGCAAGTAACCAAAAACTCAACCATTTTTACACCAACATTTGTGAATACTCAAGACAAGAACGACAATTCGAACACTTTATTGCACTTGGCTCTGAAAAAACGAAGCAGAAAAGTCGACCAGCGGAAAAACAAAGAAATCATCAAGTTTCTGCTGGATCATAAAGCTGATATTCATGCGAAGAACGACCGCAATCAATCGGCGTTGGAAGTCCTTGAAAGAAAGTGTGCTGGAAGCACCTCAAGTGAAGTGGATTGGGGGTCAATAAAGCAGCTGTTTGATTTGTCCAATGGGAAATTTTCTAGAGCAGGAGCAGGCTCTTTAAAGAGTGGGTCAAAGACACCAAACTTGCCAGGCACAAAAAGGCAAAAGATCATTTTGCCGGAAATTTCTGAATCAATAGACCAAGAGGAATTCACCTTCTCAACCAATGAAACTTATGGTGCTTCAGGTTTGAAGACCAGCATAGATGGAGTGGTTTATCAGCTGCAGCTGCTCCTGCTTTTCCTGCATCGATCGTTATCACATTACCACTCAATCTATCTAGCAAGCGAAATAGATGAAGCTGAAAAATTTGACGACGTTGCTTTAAAATACAAGAAATCACCTTCTTCCACTGCCTGGTTGTGGCGATTTGTGCAGGCCAAACATCTGCTTTATCCTGCCAAACAGCCAATTACTCCAGGACAACTATTCAGCATAGCGCCGAAACAAGATGCAAAATTCTCCCTGCATAAATACATGCACTCGTTTAGTAAAATCAAACAAAACCCATTCTTCAGCGATTCCACTTTGGAAGAATTTACCATTTGCACTAATGCGATGTTTAACCCGAAAGCAATGATGTATTTCGTTGAAGATAAACACTTTTCAGAGGATCGGATCCTGTTTTTCCCAAACACTTTGCAAACGAAACGCTACAAATTACTTCCCGCTGCCGCAAAAAACATCCGGACGGTTTATCAATCTATTGAAAAAACTGCCATTGATGAACAACACCTGAAGGAATTCATGAAAAAATTCAGATTTATCGCTAATTATCCAAATCGGGTGAGATTGAACCAACTGATTAGTCGCGAGATGAGCAGCACCTTCGGGTTGCTAGACCCAGACTTAGCAACAACCGCTTTCAAAAATTCGATCCTAAATTGGTTCATGAGCTACAAGGACCAAAAAAGTGAGTTTCTACTAATCAAAGACGGAACCGCCTTTCTAAGGCAAATCAGACGAAAAATTGAGCAGCTGATGACTGCAGGGATTTCGCTGGCTTATCCAGAAAAGCTCTTCACCTATCAAATGGAGTTTGAAAACATTCCTCAGAATTTTGAGGAAATTTCCACCGAAAGCATCGCCCAAATTCTGCACGTTGTTTCAGAAGCGCCGCTTTTAAGTGCGATTAAAGTCAACCAACATTTAGCCGGTTTGTCCCAAAAAAAGGACTTAGTCATTTTTCTGCCCATTGCTAAGCTCTGCGGTGAAAACCTTCGGAAACTAATACTTGGATCGTTTGCCTCGTCAGTCTCTCATCATTTGCTGGTTGTTGATGCAGGAGCAACCAAAAAATTGAAGAAAAGCGTTCTAAACTCTCTGTGTCGAGAGCTGCTTGAGATTCTTTGCAGCAACGCTTCGAAGAAAGTCGTGATTATTGGCGACTGTCGGAATAGTCTGGTCAGCCAGCTGGTCAATGCCAATTCCATTCGTTGTCTTCAGATGGCAGATTGTAGCAATTTTGAGGATTTAAGTCCTAGAGCGCAGGAAATCGTACTGAAGAAAAAAATCTATTTGCAAGGGAGAAAAACTCCACTGGGTGGCATTTTGAATCTTCAAGCCGCAAAGAGGGTTCTCAGCCAGACGTTGTTGCTAAACATCCTCAAAGATGTGGATGTTCGAATTGACGAGCCATCCATTCTGGAGCAAGGCATTGATGGAAACTATGTAGCCCGAACATTCAACCGGCAGGTCGTAAAACGGCAAATTCTCAGCAGAAATCGCTTTCTCGAGCAGAATTTAGTGCTAATTTCCCAAGCAACTCCCCAAGATTTGGCTGATCTCAACGCAAGCAAGCGCTTCATTAGAACTTGCGAAGCTGATGTAAAAACTGGCATTGTTTTACTTCCAGCCGCTAACGAGTCAAGATTTGTCCAGAGTATTCGGCGCCAGCACCCCCAGCAGAACATCTACTGGCTGGAGTATTCCAACAAAAATCTGCTACTCGAGGGAGTGTTTGGAAGCATAGCGCCACTGATGGGAGATCTGCAGCATTTTGCTGATGACGACCTCATTCCAGAGGAGAACTTCCTCAAGTCCCACCCAACGGGAAACAAACGTTTTATACTATCAGGAGAACCGGGCTCTGGAAAGTCCTCCTTTCTCTCCCACCTGCAGCTTTCGTTCCAACACCCCAATCAATGGATCAAGAGAATTAACCTGAACCATTACTTGGCACCCCGCATGCCCCATCGTGTCCTGTTGGAGGATGTGAACTTTGCTGAAGATGACCAGGAAAAAGCAGTGGAGTTTCTAACCAACATGCTATTTGGCGCAGAAGAATCTCCTCTAGGCAAACAGCTCTTTGCCCAGGCCTTGAACAACACCGATAAAACCCTGGAGTATCCCCAACTGCTGCTGCTGTTTGATGGGTTTGACGAGATCAGTCCCAACTACAGACCCCAAACTTTAACACTCTTAAAAGGCTTGCAGAACTCGAGTTTTGCCCAACTATGGGTCAGCACGCGATTGCACGAACAATCAGCTCTAATGTTGGCTCTAAACAATCCAGCGCTGCTGCTCAGCTCCTTTACCAGAGCCCAAAAGCTGGACTACATCGACAAGTATGTGCGTGTTAACAAACTGGCATCAGATGCCAATTTATATCTGGACTTGTGCTCGCAGCTGGGAGGAATTAAACTATCCACCGGAGAAGACAATGCTCCGAAGGATTTTTATTCGAGAAAAAATCGGTTTGCCAAGCATCTGGACCATTCGCAACGGGTGCTGCAGGATGCCCTGGAAATTCAGTTTACCAACATTCCGTTACATTTGCGGATGCTGGCCGATATTTCCTTTACAAGCAAGAGCAGCAACTTGAAGAGCTTGAAGCTGCCTGAGCTGTACCAGCGCTTTGTCGAAACAAAGTTTGCTATTTTCTACGAGGAAAAGTCCTCGACTACCAGTGCGGTTTTAGCCGACAAGGATATGCGAAGAAGCTACTTGAAGACTCTCACCAGGGTTCATCAGCAGATGGCTTGCGCGCTGCTCTTCCCCAGTGGGCCCTTTGAAAGGCCTGCAACTGACGAAGACCAAGCTTTGATAAGAGTGGGATTGCTCTACCGCAACTACAGCCAATCGACACTGGACTTCATACATAGGAGCTTTGCTGAGTATTTTGCGGCTGAATATTTGCAGGAAAACTTGCGCTCAGCCGCCATTCAACAGCTGCTGTTCCAGCAGGTATTGATGAACGATGAGTATAAGCTGATACGGACCTTCTTCAACGGAAACGAGGCTGTAGAGGACCAGTTCCAGCTTTGCCGGACTCAAATGGAGGTTTTGATCCTAGAAGCATCGGCAATGTGGTGCTACTATAATGTCCTAGTCACTGAAGAGCTGGGCAACGTTCTAAGGGCTTCTATGCTCCTCGCAATGGAACTTAAGCCCGATAGTCTGAAAACTTTCATACACAGTCGAATGACTAAGTTGTTTATGTTGGTGGTGCTGATACTGCACAGCAAGGAAATTTTCCTGGCGCTGTTTGACTCAGTGATGAATTCGACGATAATCCAGGACTACCAGAAGCGATATGGGATGAATCTTGCCTGCAAAGTCTGCCATGCAACGCAAGTTTTGTTCAAGTTTTTCGATGGGCTGGATCTCACGGGGTTTCTGGAACAAATTTTCCAAACCGCACTGCAGGTTGAAGCAGCAGATGCGTTGCATTGCTTGTGGGACATGGTGAAGCACATTGATGAGAAGAAGGAAACTCTGCTGCACATTGCTGCTAAACGGGGGCGGTTTGATTTTATCCAGCAACTGCTCAGTTGGGTTCAAAGCAAGCAACTTGTCCTTAATGAGAGCATGGGGGACTTATCCAGGTGTGCCATTAAAAACTCTGATTGCAAGTCCGTGGAAACCAGGAGCTTTCTTTGCAGCTCCGCTGATGCCTTGGGGAATGTGGTGAAATTCCTGATTCTCCAAACGACCACTTTTACAAAGAAAACGTTCCTCCATGTGATGGCGTACGGTGAAACTTTCCAGGAGTTTCTCAACTATTTGCTTGGGATCGATAGAGAGGCTGCGGAAGTTGTCCTGCGGGCCCCCCAGAACGACGGGACGACTGTAATCAATTACTTCCTCAAACAAAAGGATGGACAGTCTATGGAAGCGCTGCTGAACACCCTTCAGAGGCAGGAGAATTTGGCGTTTGCCAAAACCCTGATTTTCGATCTGGATAATTTCAAAATACTCGTGGATTTTGTGGAGCAGGACGATAATGACGCCTATCTGCTGCTTTTGAGGTTTTCCATGCGAATCCTCGATAGGCATGAGTTCGAGCGGCTCTTGCATGGAAGCGACAGCAACCAGCAAACGCTGCTCGATCACACAGTGATACATCTTGGGCCTCTTCAGGAGCTTCTGGCGTTTTTGCAGCATTTTAGTTCCTCTGTTATCAAGGCCGTGGTTTTTCACAGGGACTCGAAAAGACAAACAGCTCTTCATGTGGCGGCGCGTGTTGTCCAGTCGAGCAACTGCTGCCAATTGCTGCTGGACTTTACCAAGACCAACTTGGGACTGGATTTCCTTTGCCAACTGTTGTTTGCTGAAGACGTTTTCGGCAGCACCGTTCTGCACTGGACTGGCCGCAACCACTTTGGATTTTATCAAGCTTGTACAGATTTGGTGAGCTACAGCAAAGCAAACCTTTCCTCAGCGGTGTTTCGGGAGCTTCTCTGCAAGCCCGACACGCACCATCAAACCTTTCTGTTCCTCACTGAAAAGGCTCCGGTGGACGAGAACAAAATCCGGGCAATGATGAGTTTGCTCGGCAACGAAGATTTCATCCAGTTGATCAGTCGGGCTGATGATCAATGCATGACAATTTTCCATTTCATCCTCAACAGACCCACGGTGAGCGCTGTTCTAACTGTTATTATATCACGCCTCGAGGCCTGCTTGGATTGGGAGCAGGTAGTGAAGAAGATTCTGTTTCAAGTGGACAAAAAGGGCCGAACAGCCCTCCATTGCACGCAACCCCAAGATCTGGCTAACATTCCGGGAGATTTCCAGTCGTTTAGCGTGTTATTGCGATTTTGTTTGCGCTACTTTGGGACCCAGACAATCAAAGAACTGCTGTTGAAAAAGGACAATGAGCAGAAGTGCGTTCTACATCACGCAGCCTCCTATAGTTTCAAGCCCGAAGGGCTTTATGATTCTTTGAAACTTTGGTGCCAACCTGATGGAATCAGGGATTTGCTGATTAATTTCGATGCTAATCGGCAAACGCCCTTACATGCAGCCCTTCTGCTCAGTGAATCAGCGGCACCTTTTCTGGCCTTGCTGCAGCTGGCTGCAGGTTTAGACGTAGAATCTAGAACGGAGCTGCTGTTTTCTAAAGACATTCACGGAAACACCATCCTCCACTACTCGCCGAAGGAGTTTAAAGATGGCTGCGTTATCAGCGACTTACTGTGCTTTGCCCGAGCCCATTTGCGTCCCCAACTGTTCCTCACCTTTCTCAACAGCCAGAATTTGGACAGATGCTCCTTTATTCAACGGGACGCACTAGACAACTCATACTTGGTCATCTGGAGCGTGTTTGACCATCTCACTGCTGAGGAAGTTGAGAACTTCTTGCGCAGCACTTTGCTGGACGGCAGACCTTTTCTGCAGTTCCTCGTGTGCACTATTGCGAACGCCCAGACGATCGACGATATTTTCCAGCTGTTAGAGCGAAAGTTAGATAGAACTGTTCTTGAGGAGTTAATTTGCTTCCAAGATCGGGCTCTGAAGACCGTGCTGCATTATCCCAGCCCAATCAACAGCAAGCTGCAGCAACGTTGCCTAGATTCTGTTGATCCTGGTCGTCTAAAGGCCTTGCTGGTTCTGAGCGATCAGAACGGCCAAACGGTTTTGCATCATATGGTGTGCGAGCACAATGCCTTAACTTTGCTGGACTTGATTGGTTCTCATGTCCATGTGGACCTGTTGAGGCAAGTGGATAAAGATCAGCGGACAGTGTTGCACTTAGCAGCAAAAGCTTCAAAGTGCGAACGCGTGCTAGTGAAACTGTTTCAGATCATTGAAGCTCAATCAGACCCACAGAGCTTGCATGAAGACCTGCTGCAGCTGGACCTTTACGGGATGAATGTGCTCCATCTCAGCAGCTACAATGCAACTAGTGAGCAGATGCTGGAGCATCTACTGAATTTTTCCAGAACCACTTTTCCGAGTGATTTATGGAAACGCTTCCTCACGGCAACTGATAGCGGCAAAAAGAACATTCTGCATCATTCAGCGGGAGGAAGCCGCTCGGAAACCTTCCAAGCCTTAGTGCAGTTTCTACAGGCGAATTTAGATCTGGGGCTGTTTAGAGAGCTGATGACTTCAAGCGACTCTTCGGGAAATACAGTGTTGCATCACTTGGTGTCCCATAGAAGAAGCTCTGAGACAATGAAAGTCTACTTAGGGGTGCTGCAAGAAACGGTAAATTCAGAGAACGTGGAGAACTTCCTGGCGAGAAGCAACCGCCTCAGAAAGACGGCGTTGCACTTGGCAAACGATCAGCTGGATGAAAACGATGCTTTCAAGGAACTCTTGGCGTTTGCAGTGAGTTCGCCAATTTTTCCCAGTTTGCTGTTTTGGGCTGATGACCAGGAACGGACGATCCTCCACTACGCAGCCACGCAACCAAGCGCTTTTTCAGTTCTGCTGACTTTCATCAAAACTCTAAACGTGGTCACCCAAAGTGAACTGATGTTGCTTAGGGACAGCGAAGAATGCTCAGTGTTGCATTTCCTGGTTAAACATGGGAAATCTTGGGCTTCACTCCAAGATTTATTGGAGGTTTGCCACAGCTTAGGAAGCGAACTGCTTAGGCAGTTGCTATTGGCTGAAATATCTGAGGGATTTACGGTTCTGCACTGTTCAGCTTACAGTTCAGACTCCATGTTCATCTGGAGGCTGATGAAGTTCGCCCTCCTGCTAGGGTCGGAGTTTTTCGAAACTTTCGTTTGCAAAGAGGATAAAAATCAGCGGAATATTCTACATCATGCCTACTTTTCTAGGCATGAGATTCCCAAGTTGAAGACCTTTGGAAAGTATATCTCTAGCATGCTGTCAAAGCAGGCCACATACTCCTTATGCTCCAAAAGAGATGCTTTCGGTAAAACGCCTTTACACTACTTTGTGAGCCTTGGAAAGTGCGGCCTAGTGAACATTTTTTTAGAGCTAATCGGAAACGTCTTGGATTATGAGGGTTTTTTCCAGATCATGTCGATTCGCGATGGCTCTCAAAGGGTTCCACTGCATACCGTCTGCACATCAGAGTCGGGCTGTTGCTTCCAATCGGTGCTCAAAGTCTGCTGGACGCATCTAAAGCCTGAGGACTTCCACGAATTGTTATCCGTTCGAGATGAGGCGGATCGCACAGTGTTTCACTACTCATTCGAACATTTCACTCATATGCATTGTGGGCTGGCCGGACTCTATTTGCGTAAACTTGGGGAGTTGTTTGATAGAGCAACCGTAAAGAGCTTAACTCAAATGGTCGATGCTCAGCTTAACACTCCATTGCATCTGGCGGTTTTGCAGTTATTTTCCAATATGGAATGTGAGGAGTTCATGCAGTTCCTCACTGCAACTTTCACTCATTCCAGCGAACTTTCCCAAGCAATAACCGCCTCTAACTCCATAGGAAAACCCCCCTTGCACTGTGATTGCTTCGAAGTTCATCAAGCTCAACAGTTGAGCATTTGCGTTGATCACTTTCACTGTCCCATGAATGACTGGGACTATGGGGTTTTGGAAATGAGAGCCACGCTAACTTTAATTGAACTATTAATGGACAATTTCCAGTTTGTTTTCAACGATTTTATTCAGCAGAAGTCGAAGAACGGCCAAACCCTACTGCGGCATGTACTGGACAGTATGAGGCTTCAAGGCCCGACTGTTTTGCTGGATTGTTTCCAAAACTACATCGAAGTCAATGCCTGCAGCTTCATCAGCTTGGAAGCGATCTTATTGAAGAAAAACGCCTGCAATGCCACTCAACTCATCAAGCTTTACAATTTGATGTTGTACAAGGAGCTGATGGAAACACGGCGGTAGATATTGAGGGTTTACTTTATTTTATTACTTTTTGTAACTTTGTAAGGCAATGGAAGTCAGCTGGAATGCTTGTTAGGCAATGGAAGCTGCATAACAGATAAAATGTTTGTTTTCCTATCCATTAGGAAAATTGCGCTGTTGTGCAAACGCACTTTAGTCTTGTGCGATTATTTAAAAACGCACTAATTTTAAATAGAGCTTTCTAATGCGGATTCTGAGTAAAATGAAATAATCAGCAATAAGTGGGTGCGAATATCAGCGCAATCAGCCAACAAATATAGAACACGCTCAAATTGGTTATTAAACAAATTCCTATCTAAAATTAGCAGGCTCGCCTCATCTTTCTGCCCAAACATACTTAGTTAGACCATGTCTGGCCGTGCAAGAGTAGAAGCGATTTTAAAGCGAGTAGCTGAAGTTGAAGAATTGAAACCCTGTGAAATCCGCGCTAACTTGAATGTTTTCAACGGTGATGGAGTTTCAAGTGAGTGCTTTCGAGGCTCCATTCAGAGCAAAGATGCGAACGGCGCGAAGATGATCAAGGTGTTCATCAAAGTGAAACCACCAAAACAAATGGAAGTGACTGGAGCTGCGTTCATAAATGAGATGAACTTCTATTCGAGAATTCACCCAGAATTGGACAGATTCCAACGACTCCGGGGCGTTGAGGA